AGTCACTGGTCAGATGTCTGGTCTCTCTTATTCTCCATACCTAACACCAAAGCTCCAATTTTATTCCCAACATCTCCATGTACAACCCACAAAGGGAAAATACCTGTATGCCTGTCCCTCCAATTGGATTACAATACCATCCTTTAGGAACAGAAAACTCTTGTGGCATGAAGATGGCTGCCCCACTGGAGATCCCTATCACGCCTCCCTTGTGAGGTAATTAAGGAACAACTGGCTCCAATGATATTATTTTGGGGTGGGGGCTCATAGAGGAAGCAAGGCTTTTACTTTTTAGTTTTATCGCTGTTGTTGTGACTATTACTTTACTCCTGTTATTATCCTGGGTGGTATGGTGGCTCATTAGTTAAGATGCTGGGCTTGTCATCTCGAAAGGTTCAAGACCCAAGAGCCACTCAAAGAGGTGAGCTTCCGACCTCGCCCCAGCTCCTGCCAACCTAGCAGTTCGAAAGCATGCAAATGTGAGTAGATAAATATAGTAGGTACACTTCAGTAGGAAAATAACAGTGCTCCATGACCACATTCTGGCTAAATGATGGTGGAAATGTCTTCCAACAGGGCTGGCTCAATGATCTTGAAACGGAGATGAGCACCAGCCGCTATAGTTGGCAACAATTATTAGTGGAATAATATCCACAGGGACCCCTTCACTTTTTTAACCTGTTATTGTAAACAGAAGGTGAATGTTCTAAAAATCCAGTTAGTTTATTGTTCAATATGTACAACCATTTGTTTAATGACCATTCAAAGCTACAATGGCACTGAAGCAACTTATTCATACCTACAATCATTGCAGCATCCTATAGTCACACAGTCATAATTTGGACGCTCGGCAACTGACAGGTATTTATGACAGTTTCAGTGATCACCTTTTGTGACCCTCTGACAAGCAAAGTCAATGGGGAAGTCAGATTCACTTAACCACTGTATTACTAACTTAACAATTGTAGTGACTCACTTAACAACTGTTCCAAGAAAGGTTGTAAACCAGGGCAAAGCTCACTTAACAACTGCCTTGCCTATCAATGGAATGTTTGGGGTCTACCAGTAAATTCAGAAATTTGATCATGTTCCAATAGCTGTTGACTACAATCCATAATTACATTAAACCAAAAGCGTGAGGCACTTGTGGCTCAATCACCTCATGATAACTAACGTAAGTACATAAATGAATCATTTATGCATTCATCAATCAAACACAAAATGTCATTTGCCATCTGCTGTTTCTCTGCTGCCCCCCAATTCTCCTCTGGATATTTATGGTCAATTGAAACCCAAATTAGAAATAAGAAAATTATTATATTGTGAAAATGCAGCCAGAGATGTCCAACCTTGGCAAAGTTTAAGACTAGTGGACGTCAACTCCCAGAATTCCCCAGCCAGCCTCCTTTCTACAAGTTTTAATGCAGTATTATATCAGAAAATATCTTAATAGAATGGAATGGATGAAGTCTTTGGGCAATTAGAAAATTATTTATAGCGGTTATATTCAATACTGACCAGTAGAAGACACTACATGACACTAATTTGGTTCTTGTTGGAACTAGCCTCTGAATGGTCTATGATGAATTTATTTAATTATTAAATGTATATCCAAAGCAATTCTGGGTGGCTTACAATATAATAAAAATCAAATATGAAAACAATTTAAAATTACATGAATACAACCATTATAATACAAAGTTATATACATGCACTTTAAGGGGGATGTCATGAGACTTCTTGTATGAGATCCAGGAAAACTAATATCTCTAGCTCTCTAGTTTCAGCTTGCAAATTAATAAGAAAGGAAGATGTTATCATTCATAATAATTGGACCTATTATGCCTTATATTACTTGGGCACATGTGTTGTTTTTTTTAACACAGAAAGGGAAATTGAAGCATTGTAAAATCAAACTACTTCCTATGGAGCATTCTGGTTCCCAATTATGGATGTGGAAGTAGGCATGTATATTGGGTCTTGTTTCCTTTGTTGATCAGTGCTGTTGGATTACATAGTGCCGCTTGTTTAAATGCCTGTTTTGCCTCCTTCCCCATTTAAGGAATCAATTTCTGCACTGCCCCTCATCAATGATATTCAGATATATTCAGCTGGATGCTTCTAACACTGTAAATGCTGTAAATGCCTCATCTTGAGTTCAGCTTTTCAACTTATAGCATAACTCAGAACTGATACGCACCACCCAGAAAGTTCTACAGATTGTGGAGGTTGACGACAAAATGCCAACCAAAATGCCAACAACAAAAATGTTTACAAGAGGCAGTTGCACTATGTACTACTGTGGGTGTATTCCCTGCAGCTGTTCTTGTTGCGCGTCTCCTGCACACTAAATTGCCACATTTGTTAGTTGCCAACTATAGATAAGATAAGATAAGATAGGAACAAGGAACCAGCACAAAGTAGCACATGAGGATGCAAACTGCACAAACTTGTTGAACACACTCTCTTACAATAGGAAACTCGGTTATTGTGATGTCTAACCATGGAACAGAACATCTCTAATCTATGGGCTCTACCATACTGTGCCATCCATATTAAAAATACTATGGTCACAACAATTTAATAGGAACATCAGAAAAAGATTTGGAACATTTATCATTTCAAAAGACTCGGTGGCATTTCTCAGATGCAAGCTAATGATTGGAAACCATACAAAGGAAGCCTGACATACATCTCCAAAACATGCAACCAATCTTGATTGATCAGATGGATCTAGTTCAGGGGTGTCAAACTCAAGGCCCACAGGCTGGATTTGGCCTGCAGGGTGCTTAAATCTGGCCCATGGGGCTGGCCTGGAAATAGCAAAGGACAGGCCCACAGTGCCTCTGGCAACCAAAAACCCCACGCCCCGTTTTGGCTGGCAGGGTGCTTCAGGAGGCACTTGTCCCATTTCCTCACCCCACCCCCACAGCCGGCCTGCGAAGGAGACCTACTGTACTGATCCGACCCTCGAAGAAATCTAGTTTGACAGCCCTGATCTAGATGGATCAAATATGATAACAATCGGTGAAGATTACTATCTATCCAGTTGTATGATCCAGTTGCCAATGTCCAGAACATTTCAAAGACTATATAATGATGAGACATTCCATCTCTAGTCTACACAATTTATGAATTATGATTATGTAGATTAGTGTACCTGTATATCATTTGTGTTGCTAGTATTGGGAGAAAAGTGTCTTCATCTATAAATCATTTCTGTTTGAGAGGGAGTTGTTTTGTGTGAGTGTATATGTGCACATGCACACACATGCATGCCTTTGAGCCAATGTTGACTCCTGGAAACCTGCCTGGACTAGCTTTTACAGTTTTCTTGACAAGATTTCAGAAGTGGTTTGTCACAGCTGTCCTCCTGAGAAAGGAAAGCTGAGAAAGAGTGACTGATCCAAGGTCACCTATCTGGCTTTGTAATTACGGTGGGCCTAGAATTCTGGTCTCCTAATTTCTAGCTTGCTGCTTAAAGCAACTACATGATCTCTATGTGTTTGTTTTTTCCCAGCACAAATTCAGGTCAGACATAGTCCAAGGCCATCAATCTTATATCAGACTGAGGTATATATTGTAGATCAAAAAAATAATATTCATGTTATTATTAGCCACTTTCCCCATGTTTTGGAAATGCATTCTAGGCTTCTAAAGGTCAGCAGTGACTTCTATTATCCTGTAAAGGAACTTTTTTCAAAATCATTTTTTTCTATTCATTTTTTCCTGCATGATTAAGTAGACAAAATGGATCATTTGATTGATTTTATTCATGGCTGGATGAAGACTCATTCATTTTGTATATACTGTAACCCCAAAGGGTTGGCCTGGGTTAGTTGATTTTGTGTGTGTGTGTGTGTGTGTGTGTGTTTCTGCAATACACTAACCACACCTCACCCACCTTAATTCAGTAAAGGGCATGTTCATCAGATTTAGGTTTAAAAACTCCAGAAACCACTGGATGGCAGCAAGGTGTTTTTGTATTCCTTTGATGCCATTGAGGGCGGTTTGGACTTTTGCAGCTTAGATCTGACAGCCCTGATTAAGAGTATCATGGGAACATAGCCATACTGATTACTCCATCTGGTCCAATATTGTTGACACGATATGAGTAGTTGACAGCTTTAGTTGACCGTTGTCCAAGTTTTCAGACTTTTTCATATTGGCTTGAAATTCTGGAGTTTGAACTCCATATATCATAAAGTTGCCAAGGTTGAGAAACATAGCTCATTTATCCATGGTCTACTTGCATAGGATTGCTACTAATATTTTATTCAGCAGCCAACAGGTTTAGCCTGTCCAGCCTTTTTCTTATCACAAAGTCACTTTAAAAGACATGCTACATTTCACAAATGGGCGTGGGAATAGAATTTTTTTTAAAGTCACATTTACATATAATTTAGCTGTAAGAAGCTGGCAACTGTGATTGTCCTGG